ACATCGAGCAGGTGACGTGATGCAGCCACTCAGAGCCACCCCCGAGCCTCAGGGTTCTTGTCCACAAGACAGGGTGCCGAGAGGGCCCCCCAGAGGGTTGCAAGTGGAAGGGCCCCCGGCAGTTCCTCGGTGGCCATGGGCAGATCTCATCTGCTGCCCCTCTGGCGAGAAGAATCCCCGGGGCACCCGCACCTCCAGATGGGCTTTCGCCAGTCTCTGGCCCTCCAGGGGCCACCAGTGGCCGAAACGAGAGCCCTGAGGATGGAGCACATCCTGGGCTCCCACCCCCCACCCGGTCCCTCTACCCCGGGGGGTCGAGTCCATGTGGCTCACCTGGCGCCGGGCACACAGCGCACATACATGCAGGAGATGCGGTTGCCCCGGCTGCTCTTGGTCAGGAAGACCTCGATGGTGTCCAGCTCACGCTGGCTGTACTGGAAGTCGGCGCGATCCATCAGGTGGAGCTTCCAGCGCCTGGGGGTGCCGGCCGAGGCCCGCAGGGTCCCCGAAGGGGCGGCCCCGGCCCCACCAGGCCCGGGCTCAGGCTCAGGCACCAGCGAGTAGGTGGGCTCTGGAGGCAGGAAGGCGAGCTTGGCGGCGATGCGGCCGGGGCAGGGCGGGCAGCAGAAGAGGCAGCAGAGCTCAGTCACCGACAGGCCGTTCATGGCGGGCGCCGGGCCCCGGGGCGGGCCTCGCCCGGCAGGGGAGGGATGGGGGTGCTCGGAGACACGGGCAGGGGGCAGGGCGACCCCCAGCCACCGCCCCAGACGAGAGCCCCGTTAGGAGGCTGCAGCCCAGCCCCATCGTGGTCCAAGCTGAGCCCTTGGGAGCCTCGCAGCCTCGTGTGTCCATGTCGCACAGAGGGAAACCCTGCAGGGGTACAGCAAGATGTGGAGTTCCCCTGGGGCTCCCAAGTGACCTTGGTGGGACCTAAACCTGACCAGGACCCCGCCTGCCACCACCCTTCCTCCGCTGGCAGACACCAACTCTTGCCATTTAAGCCCATTCATCAACCCAGCCTCGGCCTGCAGGCTGTGCGGGGCGATCAGAGCCCTGGCCCACCCAGCTCTCCCGGGCACAGCTCCTGCTCCAGGCCCTGGGAAACGTCACCCCAGCCCACCCCCGCCCCATGCCTCTGTCCACACGGCTGGCCCAGACTCTGCCCTGGGGCCCATCCCCATCTGCCACCCCCAGGTGCCACAGCTCAGCCAGGCGAGGACCGACTGCTGACCACAGGGACCCAGGAGCACGCTCCCAGCTCCCAGGGCCTGCGAAGTCCGGAGACAGGAGCCCAGGCAGAGGAAATACAACAAACAAAGGCTCTGGAAACAAAAGCAGGATACATCTCGAGGCTGGGAAGGCCTACTGGGCTGAGACAATGGCTCTCTCCAGTGCTTGGGGCCAGGCCCAGGGGTCAGCCTGCTGCAGGGGGGAGGCAGGGCAGGGTCATGGGAGCCTGGGGTTCCTTCCCCAGCTCTGTCAGCTTAGGTGTCTGTGGCCTTGGGCAAGTCGCTTAGCCTCCCTGGGCCTCAGTTTCCTCGTCTATCAATCAGACACCACTCAGGTCACAGAGACAGTGAATAAGATGAGAAAGTGGTGGAATGGGCCACGCTCAGAGAAGAAACGCAGAATGTCCTGTGAAACGTGGCCTAGAACAGACTACAGCGAAATTGCTAAAGCAACTACAATCGTACATGGAGCTGCCAACAGGGAGACTGGAAGAAAATACAGAGGTTTGAAAATACGGAGTACTCACTTACTACATTTTCCCTACAGCCTGGAGTGAGGGAGGGACACACGCTCACAACTCAAGTGTCAGCAGCAGAGCACCTGAGTCCGTTCTGTTTCGGGGCCACAGCATTTGTAAACCACTGGGCCAGGGACACGCGGATGCACAGCAGGTCGGCGCAGTCTGAGGCCCAGAAATACACCTGCTCCCTCCAGACCTGTGATCTGAGACCGGGGGCTGCAGAGAGCCGCATTGCAGTCACTCGGATGGGGGCACACGGAGGGGTGTGGGAGAGGGTGGCTAAAGCCAAGGCGGGGACACGGACCGCCTCCAGGAGCCCCCAGACTCCCAGGTGGGATGCTCGCTTTACAAGTCCATCACACTGTTCTCAGACGAAGGCAAGTTTGCCCCCCGGGGACACTTGCCAAGGTCTGGAGACATCTTTGGCTGTCATGACTTGGGGGCGAGGGGGTTACTAATGGCACTGAGTGGGCGGGGCCAGGGGTGCTGCTCAACACCCCACAGTGCCCAGGACACCCTCCCTCCCCCTCCAGAGTGTCAACCAAACCGATGTTGCTCCAACACATTCTCAAAGAGGCCCAGGCCCCAACAGATGACACTGCCCTGGTGCTTTTGGTGACTTGGCGGGTCTGGAGTTTGGGTGGCACAGGGAAGGCTTGTTTTGAGAGGAAGGTCTGGCTGAGAGCCGGTGGGCAGGTAGGAGGCCTCTGGTGACCCGAGAATGAACAGGCATACTAAGGTGGACAACGTCCCACTGACCAAGCCAGAAACCGGGGTGCCATCCTTGACACCTCCCTGCACCCTCAGATCCGCCCGTCACAGGGCCTGCTGACTCTGCCTGGGGCATGCACAGTCTCCTTCCTCGCCGGTCCCCACCCCCACCCCCGGCTGGGCCACCATCACCCACTCTGGGCCATTCTCACCCCAGTTGCCAAAAGATCTTTTCACAACACAAATCTGATCATGCTACCTCCCTTTTGGGGTGCCCCAGTAGCCCCACTATTTTCAGGATAGAGATCAAAGCCTTCACCACGATCTGCCAGGTTGGCACCAGGCGTGGAGCCGACCTCTCCAGCCTCACGCGTCTTGTACCTCACTCTCCCCTGATGAGCCCCACTGCCTTCTCCTGACTCAGAGCCGAAGCCCCAGCAGTTCCCCTAATCTCACCAGAGAGCCCGTGACCCTTGTCCCACCCACTCTTCACATCTCCCTTCCAGCACCCTTCCAAACAGGGTCGCCCCCCCCCACACTCTCATGGCTCAGATCTGTCTCTGCAGCTTGTAGTTGCATGTTCAACCATACCCCTCAAACCAAAGAGAAACTCCGTGAGGGCAAGACTACCTGTTCTTGCTCAGTAAACACTGACTGAACGAATGGACAAAGTACCAGGGGCAAAAGGGAAAGGGGGACGCTACAGTCCGCCAGGTCTGACATCTGACAGGGAGGGGGGAAGGTCTCTTCTCAAGCCACGCAGACCTGGGACCTCCCGCTGTCTTTTATGGATGTCACTGAATGTGACCTGAGAGCCTGGCCTCGGACTGGACAGAGCACATCCAGATGCCTCACTCACTGGGCAGGCACCCCTGGCACCAAGAGCCCAGTGATTTCACCCACAAGCACATAATCGGACACCCCGCTGCCGAGCCCGGTGCAGGCTGGCAGTGTCATGAGGACCAACATGGAACCAGGCAATTACAATACTCCAGGACGACCTAAATACGGACGACTATGACCGCACCTCATTCAGCCAGTCAGCCTGAAAGGCACAGGCAAAGTGCCGGGTGCCCGGAGGGGAGAAAACAGGCAAAACCCAGAAGTGACAGCGGGTTCCAGGAACTGCGGGTCCCAGGCTAGAGGGATACTGGGAGGAAGAGAAGAGCAGAGGGATCCTGGAGAGAGCCAGAGCTGGGTCGGGCCGCGCCCGTAAGCCCTGCTGCAGTTTGGACTTCATCCTGGGGGAAAAGGAGGAGCCCTGGAGGAGTCCCGGGCTGGGAATGGAGCCCGTGGGTTAGAAGCTATGGATATGCCCTAGCTGTAGCCTGGAGATGGGACTGGAGCAAAGGCTGGGAAGCCTGTCCAGGTGTCCCAGCCCGCCAGAGGACGCCCGCGAAAGGGCAGAGGTGTCTTGGAGACGTTTAGGAAGCAGGGCTCCGGCTGCTTCGGCGGGTCCGGGTGTCAGGCTGGGGCACTGGTTCGGGACCGGGGATAGAGTATGCGGCTCGGACAGCGCATTCCCCGAAGGCGGGGCCGCGTACCCGGAAAGGTGGGAACACACCCCAAGTCGGAGGGCAGAATGGACGGCGGACGGGGCTCTGCCGGAGTCTGAGACACCGTCCCGCGGTCCCTGGCCCTGATCCTGGGGTCCTCCGGCTGCGACCTCGGCCGCCCCGGGAGTGCGGGGTCTCGGGGGCGTCCGGCCGGACTGCCCCGGCCTCGCGGCCCGGCCCGGCTCTCCAGACGGCCGCGAGAAGCACTGAGACCGCTCCGCGAAGCCACGCCAGCCCCTGCAGGACACTCACCGCCGCGGCCCGCGCCCCCCGGCCCCGGGGCCGCGCTCCATGGCTCCCGGCCGCCCGCCCGTGCGTCCGTCGATCCCCCGGGGCCCCGGCCCGGTCTCCTGCGCCGCCACCACCGCCGCTCCCCCGCTGGCGGAAGTGAACCTCACTCCCACCGCCGCCCCGGAAGTGACGCGCAGGTGTGCGCGAGGGCCGGAGGGGCCGGGGGCCTGGCGCCGGGCGCTGGGCGCTGGGCAGGGTTTGGGGGTGGAGCTGGCTCCCTGGAGGGGCGGAACCACGTCGTGGTGGGCGGGGCAAGAGTGGGTGGGCGGGCCCGGGCTTTGGGTTCCCCTTAGGTTTCAGGCAGTGGAGACTCACAACCATTCATTCGATCCTTCACTCATTCCAGCGCCAGGACTTGGGTGAGGCAAGTGAGGCACTCTCCTAGAAAATAAGCTTACAGCGTGCCAAAAAACTCAGTAGTCAACATAAAAAAATATATTTTAATGCACTACTAAAAACCCCACAAAGTTTTTTGGAACCAGGCCCCTGACTGGGGTAAGGCAAGTGATCCTGCCTTTATTTTGTTCATCATGGGTTCTTTTGCCTTGGTTTTGGCTTTTTTACTAGTGAAATTAAAATATTATGGATCGGGGACTTCCCTGGCGGTCCAGTAGGTCCAGTGGGTAAGACTCTGCACTTCCACTGCAACGGGCACGGGTTCCATGCCTGGTCAGGGAACTAAGATCCTGCATGCCGCGCGGGGCAGCCAAATAAATAAATAATATAGTAAAATATTATGGATCGCGAGCCCCTCCCACTCAGCTCACCCCGCGGGCAGGGAGGCGGATGGTTACCGAGCTGAAGGTAGGGGAGATGAAAAAGGATGTCAGTTGAGAGCAAAGTGGCGGTGTGGCTGAAGGTGACCAGGGAATCTCTTCGAGGGTAGTCAGGGCAGGCCTTCCTGAGGAGTGACAGGGGCAGGAAGGCTGCAGAGGCCAACAGGGCCCAGCCTGAGTCAGGGAGATGAGTTAGTGGGACAGCCTCGTCATTCCAGGCCTCCGCCCTTTGCGTGTTCCTTTCCCTGGGCCGGCAAGCCTATTCCAGCTCAAAATCCGCCCCACCAGCTGCAGGCAACCCCAGGCCCCTCTCCTCCCCGGGAAGCCTAACCTTCAGCTTCATTTGCAGAGATAAGCCTCCCTGGCCAGCCCTCCCCCAGGGCCCCATTCCCGGAGAGGCTTAGGCTCAGGAGTGGACACTGTCCAGAGGTAGTTTCCAGCCGGTTTCCTCTGGCCCCCGGCCCCGGGATCAGCTGCCACCTTCCACAGCCATGTGCCAGGGGGCTGTTGAGGGGTACCCCGGAGTCCTCCTGCCTTGGCTGCCCCCCTCAGGGCTCCTGGCATCAGCTGTTCTCCTGCGGTCCAAAGGTCACACCTGGGCCAGGCTCCTTCCAGTTTCCTTGTGCCAGAACAGGAAGGGGCCTGTCCGCAGCTTCCTTCCCCTGCCCATCTTCCCCTCCAGGCCGTCTTCCCCTGGGCTAGAAAGGGCCAGAGCAGTGGCACCTCCAGAAAGCCCAGCTCAACCAGGACTGAAATGCCCCAAGGGGAACACTTGTGAAGGGGGTGGCCAGGATGTGGGGATAGGCTTAGTCCCCACCCAAATGTGGCCTGACCCGCTCCCACGGAGTTCCCCCATCAACCAGAGGACACTCTGAAAGGATGAAGGCGCTGCTGTGAATGCGCCAAGGTCTCAGAAGGTCAGTCACCCCTCTCTCCTCCCCTCCCCAAAGCCCCTGCTTGGTGTTGCCATGCAGCTGCTGGCCCATTTTCCCCATCTCTTTTTTTTTTTTTGGTTGCACCACGAGGTGTGTGGGGTCCTAGTTCCCCAACCAGGAATCGAACCCATGCCTCCTGCATTGGAAATGTGGAGTCTTAACCACTGGGCCACCAGAGAAGTCCCTTCCCCACCTCTTTTGCCCCTGCTCTCTCTGCCCCAGCCAAACCATCCTTGCCAAGTTTGTTCCTACCTCAGGGCCTTTGCACAAGTGGTGTCTACTGCCTGGAGTGCCCCCAGATAGACACATGGCCGGCTTCTCCTCCTCTTCAAGCACCTGCTCAAATATAACCTCCTCAGAAAGCCCTCCCTGACCACCCCCAGTCAAAATCCCTACCACACCCTATTCATTTCCATCATAGAACTTGACATCATTTTATTGAGTTGTTTGCTTGTCATCTGTCTTCCCCCCATTCCATGAGCTCCCCGGGGCAGACACCCAGGCTCTTACCCACCAGGTCCCCAGCTGTCTCCCATGCTGTCTGATGAATCAATGGATGCACAGGAGGAGGGTAGTTCCCGGTCCAGAGGAAGGCTTTTGGGAGGGTGGAGGGAGGCTCCATGAGCTTTTCGGTGCCACCGGCACAGACCTCAGGCTGGCGGGATGCTGTGCTTTTCCTTCTCTCCCGAGACACTCAACCCATTGGCAAAATAACGTGACCATGGGAATCAATGGTCTTAAAAGCAATCCTGTTTGAGGAAAAGATCAAGAGGTCACATATTTCCCATCCTTGGGGCAAGGGAGACACCGCACATGCGCAGAAACCTTCCTTTGGGGACAAAAAGGAGGGGGCGTCACCCCATAATAGGTGATGCCAAGGACCCCCATAGGCCTCTGGGCTGGAATCCATCTTGGAAAAAAGTTGCGCACACGTGCTGCGGAAGGTCCTAGGGCAGTTCAGGTGTGGAAAAATAAGCCAGATAATTGGCCAAAGGTAAACAAAGACCCGGAAGAACTGCCCTATATGAATGACTTAACCGCCCCTTTACTGCGCTCCTCCTCTTTAGTGGGGACGCCCATATCTTTCTGTCCAGGGGTGCATCTCTGCCTTGCTTCTGTCTTAACTAAACAAATTGTTTTTCTGTGTGCTCTCCCGCTTGTTGTGCTGTGTCTCTAATAACAGACTTTGTACCTGTTTCTTACAGTTTTTGCCTCCTTGAGAAATGCATTTTTCAATGGGGGCAAGAGCCAGGGGAACCTTGCTTCTAGCCTCTAGTCCTTGGTGGACTAGCGGCTAGGATTCTTGGTTTTCATCCAGGCTACCCAGGTCCAATTCCTGGGTGGGGAACTAAGATCACACTTCAAGCCCCCGCTCACTGCTGTCTCTCTCCGAGATCAATCCCACCTGGAGCCATAAGTTCCAGCCCCGCACTATCCAATATGGAGGCCGTCAGCCACAAGCCACTATTTAAATTGAAATGACTTGGGTTTCCCCGGTGGCGCAGTAGTTGAGAGTCCGCCTGCTGATGAGGGGGACGCGGGTTCGTACCCCAGTCCGGGAAGATCCCACATGCCGCAGAGTGGCTGGGCCCGTGAGCCATGGCCGTTGAGCCTGCGCATCCAGAGCCTGTGCTCCGCAACGGGAGAGGCCACAGCAGTGAGAGGCCCGCGTACTGCAAAAAAAAAAAAAAGTAATAAATTGAAATGACTTGATTAGAAGTAAATTAAATTTCACTTCTCCAGTTGCTATGGGCTCATTTTCAAGTGTTCAAGAGCCACCTGGTGCTGGGGGCTCCCAGTTTGGATGGCACAGATGGAGAACAAGTCCATCACCCAGAAAGTTCTAGAAGCACCGGTCTAGCCCCTGAGCTCCAAGAGTAAAGGCATCAGCGTTGGTATCCTTTTGGTTTCCTGTTGCGTCTCTGGTGCCTAGCTTGGGGCTTAGCATTCAGTCAGTGCTCAATGAATGTTTGAAGGAGGGAGAGAGGAAAGAAGGAATTCTCCTTGTAGGAATCACAGTAAATAATCTGATGAAGATAGCAAGTTCTATCCATAGATGTCCATCCCTGCATTATTTACAATAGTGAAAAGTGTCCATCGATAGAGGAATGCATAAAGAAGATGTGGTACCTATATGCAATGGAATATTACTCGGCCATAAAAAAGAACAAAATAATGCCATTTGCTGAGACGTGGATGGACCTAGAGATTGTCACAGAGAGTGAAGTAAGTCAGAAAGAGAAAAACAAATGTCATATAATATCGCTTATATGTGGAATCTAGAAAAATGGTACAGATGAACTTATTGGCAAAGCAGAAATAGAGTCACAAATGTAGAGAACAAACTTATGGTTACCAAGAAGGGGAGCGGGGGTGGGACGAACTGGGAGGTTGGGATTGACATATATACACTACAATGTATAAAATAGGTAACTAATGAGAACCTACTTTATAGCACAGGGCAGGGGTCCCCAACCCTCAGGCCGCGGACAGGTACCCATCCCTGGCCTGTTAGGAACCAGCTGCACAGCACGAAGTTAGCGGTGGGCAAGCGAGGGAAGCTTCATCTGCCTCTCCCCATCGCTTGCATTACCGCCTGAATCATCACCCCCACCCCCTCACCCCCAGCCCCCGCCCCCTGCCCCCGGTCCGTGGAAAAAATTTCTTCGGTGAAACCGGTCTCTGGTGCCAAAAAGTTTGGGGACTGCTGGCACAGGGAACTCTACTCAGTGCTCTGTGGTGACCTAAATGGGAAGGAAATCTAAAGAAGAGGGGATGTATGTACAAGTATGACTGATTCACTTTTCTGTGCAGCAGAAACTAACACAACATTGTAAAGCAACTATACTCCAATAAAAAAAATAAAATAAAATATAAAAGAAAACAGAAAAACATCCTCAAAGTGAAGAGAGGAAATTAAGTAAAAAGATTATGGTCAACCTTTGATGAAAAAACCGGAAGCCCTGAGGTATGCGGACCTATACTAGGCTGTTGGTCTTTTTTTAAAAAAAAACAGTTTGCGGGGACTTCCTTAGTGGTGCAGTGGTTAAGAATCCGCCTGCCAATGCAGGGGACACGGGTTTGAGCCCTGGTCCGGGAAGATCCCACATGCCGCAGAGCAACTAAGCCCGAGTGCCACAACTCCTGAGCCTGTGCTCTAGAGCCCACGAGCCATAACTACTGAGCCCACGTGCTGCAACTACTGAAGCCCGCGCGCCTAGAGCCCATGCTCTGCAACAAGAGAAGCCACCGCAATGAGAAGCCCGCGCACCATAACGAAGAGTAGCCCCCGCTCGCCACAAGTAGAGAAAGCCCACGCGCAGCAACGAAGACCCAACACAGCCAAAAATAAATAAATTTTTAAAAAAAAGTTTTACTTTGATTTATGTTTTTATGGGAAATATATTTACATGGTTCAAAATTCAAAGGGTTTAAAAGGCTTTGCAGAAAACTTCTCTCCCCCAATCCTGTTGCGCAGGAAACAGGTGACCCCATCTTAAGGCGGCCAATATTCTCAGTTGCAACCGATTCAGTGCTGAGAAACCCAGGCATCTGTGTTCACCTGTGAGCAGGTGTAAAGACACAATCCCCATTATTATTATTATTTTTTGACACATATAGTAGCTTTCAGCAACACTGCACTTGCGATCCTCTCATGCAACCCCTAGGGCTGGCCCACTGTTTGTGTACACAGTCCGCTCTTGCTGGACACTTAGGTTGTTTCCGCTGTGGGCGGGACAAAAACAACACTTGGGGCATTTACCACTTGTGGGCGGGACTTGAGGGGAAGATTCCTGGAAGCAGAGGATTCTAATGAGAAGATTCACGCGCCACATCCAGCAACCAGCGCAACTGTAGCCGGCACCCCCGCCCCCAAACACACGCCACAGTGGGAACGAGGGGGACGCTGGGGCATGAGGTTACAGGAGATTTTTTTTTCTTCTCTTCTTCAGTCTTTGATGTGTCTTCTGAGTTTTCGTTGGTTTTGCCAGGCAAAGGGATTGTTTCACTGTTAGGATCAGCCAGAAGCTGAGTTAAAACTAGATGCCTAAGGGAAGGCTGGCTATTAAAAATTAATGTTTGTGGGACTTCCCTGGTGGCTCAGTGGCTAAGAATCCACCTGCCAATGCAGGCGACACGGGTTCGAGCCCTGTTCTGGGAAGATCCCACATGCCATGGAGCAACTAAGCCGGTGCGTCACAGCTACTGAGCCTGCACTCTAGAGCCCACGAGCCACAACTACTGAAGCCCGCTCGCGTAGAGCCTGTGCTCTGCAACAAGAGAAGCCACCGCAGTGAGAAGCCCGCGCACCGTAACGAAGGGTAGCACCCACTTGCCGCAACTGAAGAAAGCCCGCGAGGCTTCCCTGGTGGCGCAGTGGTTGAGAGTCTGCCTGCCGATGCAGGGGACGCGGGTTCGTGCCCCGGTCCGGGAGGATCCCACATGCTGCGGAGCGGCTGGGCCCGTGAGCCATGGCCACTGAGCCTGCGCTTCCGGAGCCTGTGCTCCGCAACGGGAGAGGCCACAGCAGTGAGAGGCCCGCGTACCGCAAAAAAGAAAGAAAGAAAGAAAGAAAAAAACCCGCGTGCAACAATGAAGACCCAACGTAGCCAAAAATTAAGTAATTGATTAAGTTTTTAAAATTAATGTTTGTGCTTCTGGGTACAGACCCAAAAGAACTGAAAACAGGTACTCAAACAGATACCTGTACAGGAATGTCCACAGCAGCATGGTTCTCAGCAGCCAAAGGTAGAAGCAACATGCGTGGATCGATGGATGAACAAAACGTGGTCCATCCACACAGTTGAATGTTATTCAGCCTTATAAAGGAAGGAGATTCTGACACCTGCTACCATATGAATGAACCTTGAGGACATGATGCTCAGTGAGAGAAACCAGACACAGAAGGACAAATATTGTCTGATTCCAGTCATGTGAGGTCCCAAGAGAAGTCACATCCACAGAGACAGGAAGTAGATGGTGGGGGCCAGGGGCTGGGGGAGGGGCCGGGGAGTCAGTGTTTCTTGGGGACAGAGTTTCAGTTTGGGAAGTTGAGAAAGTTCTGGAGATGATGGCAGGGACCGTTGCCCGACAATGTGAATGTGCTTAATGCCACTGAGCTGTGTGCTTAAAAATGGTTAAGATGGAAAATTTATAGTATGTGTATTTTAACACAATAAAATAAATAAAACTTTATGAAACCAGGAGGTGGAGGGAGGGCTGCAGGTTGTTGGGGGCAGTGCCAGCGTTCTGGGCTGAGACCCATGGAGTCACCCAGGACCTCACGCTCAGAAGAGCTGCACCCATGATTTACTGCTCTGTGGCTTGTGTCTTGAAATTCCTCATAGTATTTGAGCAAGGGCATCTTCATTTTCATTCTGCACTGGGATCTGTACATTATGTGGCCAGTCTTGGTTCGGGGAAAGGACTCAAGGTCGGGGTCTGGGACCCTGAAGTCGGTGGAGAAACGCCACAATATGCAAGTTTGTCTTTGCCCCACCCTGAGGGGAGAGGATGAGACTCAGTCAGGAAGTGGGCT